ACCTTGGTAGGTTTGTCTGGCTCTCTAGATTTAAGATTTATATATATATATATATATATATATATATATATATATATATATATATATATATATATATATAGATAGGCAAGAAGCTGCACAAACTTACGTACATATAGATTTGTCTACGGTTTTAATGCATGTGACCCGTGACTGACCAATGGGAAATGAGCCAAACATAATTGAAAATACCTGTATTTTCTGTCTTTTGTCTGTTTTCTCTCAGAAGCTCACGAAGCATTAATAAAAAGTAAAACATGTTAGATTGGTATACGTTTCATATTTGTTCTTTATTTTATATATATATATATATATATATATATATATATATATATATATATATATATATATATATATATATATATATATATATATATATTTAATTATCTATTTCGTTTATATTTTTCAAGTCACAAACTGGTAAAACATAATTATCTAGGGTATTCACAAAATAAAAATTATAAACGAAATGGATAATTAAAGACGCCGTCTTCTTATTATTAATATATATATATATATATATATATATATATATATATATATATATATATATATATATGTGTTCAAACTGTTTTTTAGTTAAATAATTCAAACATATCAAGTCGATTTCTTTTGATTATGATCCTTTAAATTCCACGGTGTAATTTCATGTTAACTTTAGAAAATTGATTAAAAAAAATAACAACATTTCCTTTCAAGTATTATTTTTATTTTCCCAAGGTTGAATTTTACATATACTAATTCACAGACAATTTAACACTCTGAAGATGATCTTAGATGAGATTACATGGGAAAAATAAAAACTGAAAAGAAAATTTTGGCATTTTTCATAATCAATTTTCTAAGGCAACAAGAAATGTATTCGTGATATTCGAAGGATTACAACCAAAAGAAATCGACATATGTCTAAATTATTCTCACTTAATAATAACATCACCTAAACGGATGAAAATAATGCAGAGTTTTAAAAGATTTATATATTATAAATTATTATAATCGAAATTTATAAAAACTGAAAACAATTCTTGTAAAAATTAGTTATTCATCCTCAAATGTGTTTTTATAATTCAATAGTGCCGTTAATAAATCATATTTATAAAAGCAATTAAAAGATTTGCTAATGAAATAATGTCATAGTGTTATTGAATTTTTTGTTTTACGATTCGGAGCAGATTTTCGGGAAATGAGTAGTAGTTTGAAAAAATTGTTCATTTATTTTCTCCAAGAAGTACTGCTTTTAATTAATAAAATGTTTTTCGGATAAAAATTTATTTTCTCGAAATTTCATTAATTTAAATAAGTGAGGAGTGTAATATATGTAAAAAATATATATATATATTTGGTTCATACCACATTGACTCCAACAACAAAAAATTCTCAAATTGCCATATTAGTAAAAATCGCCTCCCTTACATTTTCAAAAAATTCAACCTTAGCGTTGCGACTGCACGCTCCAAAAGTTGTTTATCCGTTAACAATAACACATTTCCAAAAAAAAAAAAACAAAAAAACAAAAAAAAACATTTCGATTCGCATTTAATTTTTTCGTCTCTGATGCTTCCTGGATTTTACTAAACACAAAATAATTTCCATGCCTGAGGATGACTGAATGTAGAGTTGAAAGTACTTACAGATTAAAAAAGACCTTATACAGCTTGTAGTTATTAAAAACAAGGATCATGACATTCACTGAATGGTTCGTAGGTTAATGCAACTTTAAAATTTTGTTTACGAAAGGATTTCGCCATTTTATATCATTACCTTTACTAATCTACATTTTGTATGAATGATTCATTGTAATATATATATATATATATATATATATATATATATATATATATATATATAGTCTAGACTACTCCCTAAAAAACATACTCATTCCATCCCCATTTTCAAAAAACAAAAGCTTTATAAAAATAATAAGATGGAGAGTCCATTTTTTTAAACCAGAACCTTCAAAATAACACTACACTCAGGGAAAACAAAATGAAAATGAAAAGCAAGTAAAATAAATTAACCCAAACAAATAAATAAATAAACAAACAAACCACTCCCGCAAAATTAACAGCCAGGATAGATTACCCACAATGCACCACTGATCCATATGTATAAATAGCTGAGGAAATATCCAGCATTCGCGGCCTGACGATTGCGTCCAGCATGAAACAGCCTGTCACCTCTGAGTGTTGACTTCAATGTTCACTTTTATATATATATATATATATATATATATATATGAATGAGAGAGAGAGAGAGAGAGAGAGAGATCCAGACTTGCATAGATACAGAAAGAGTGAGAGATTTCAATTTTGTGTTCGAATTTATTTCAAAGCCAGGATTCCTGAGGTTAATTCTCTATGTAGGCAAGCTCCCTTTATTGTATATGTTGGCCGAGGTGAAGATTGATTTTTGCATTGTTGCAAGCTCTCCTGAGTCAATATATACGTCCACTCTTCCTAAACATTCACAATAATTCGTTAGGCTTTTGACATTGTAATCTAGAACACTGATTGTCGAGGAGTCTAGTGGCTTTCCTGGACGGACAAAATTTATTCCAAGGTAAGTGTCGTGTGTAGTTAGAGAGTTTTCAGATAAAACTGGTGACTGTCTTTGCATCGTGGCCAGTGTCATGTTAATTAACACTGACTGGAGCGAGATAAGAGAACTTTATTAATGCAGGCTGGTCAGCTCAGAGAGTAAGAGACATGGACGGAGACAGATATGTTTGACCCTCATTTAGGGTGACTAATCACCAGAAGAAAATACGAAAATGTGGAAAGAAATTACGGAATTTATCCATGATTATTGCTGAACAATTAGCACTTTCGCATGAATAAAATTAGAAATCTGTCATATGATCCCACTCCCATATCCTTCCGATAACACCTTGTAAAATGACAGATATATATATATTAATTACCACTCGTGGCTGAGTGGTTAGAAAGTTCGCTTTCTGACTATGATACCCGGGTTCGAACCTTACCATTGCTGATTTGTCAGGAAGGAAACTTGATGTTATCGGTCTGGACGGGGACGCTCCCAGAATGCAGCACCTTTGGAAAGTATCTGAAAACCATGCCAGGGGTTGACCTAAGTCTTGTGAGTGAAATCGTGTAGACGGAACCCTTGAAGGGGGCGTCTATAGCTGTGCTACCATGAAGTCCTAAGTTATCGTGACCGAGGATTTGAGTGTGCTCACTTTGTTCAGATTGTTGATCACGCTAGATAACACGCTCTCTATCAGAAACTAAGGTCTAAGTTGCAGTATAAACCACAGATTGGTTCTGTGGGTGTTGAACAAAAACAAATATCCATGAGCGATGAGGTACGCATAGGGATTGGCTAGCCGCCCTGGTAAATGAGTACCTTCGAATACGAGTGGCTAACTATTAGATTTATTATAACGTTATTTTTAGTGGATACGCATATCTGAGTAGACTCACTGTTTATTAAAAGATATATTTATTTATTTTACTTGCTCGGCCTGGTTATTCAGAAAAGAAAATATTAAAGAAAAATATGCGAAAATATTCGAATTTGAGGTTCCTCAAGGGGAAACTGTTATTAGATCTGACGAGCTTTGACCTCTCGGCTACGGAGTGCTGGATAGCCAAGCAAAGCCCGACTAGCGATTTTAAAAACAGATATTTTTTCCTGATTCTTGACATATACACATCGGCTCAGTTTCGTATACTGAGGTAAACAAAGCAATTTAGGAATCGAGTTTTTATTCATTAATCCGGAATATTTTATCACTTAAACGTTATTTTTATGGATGCCCATATTTGAGTAGACGCTCTGTTTAGTTATTAAACACTATTTTTTAATTATTTTCCTTCAAAGGCCTGAATATTCGAGACATTTCATTGGAAAAATTTGTATATCAAAATAGCGGCTTCTGTAACGGATATTGTCATGCAAAGAGCAATCAACAACCCGTCCAAATTCAATAGGCTTACGGCCATGTCACGTTGAAATTCCGGTTCCCGTACGATCACTGAAGTTAAGCAACATCGAACCTGGTCAGTACCTAGATAGGTGATCGTTTGGTAATACCTGGTGCCGTATTGCTTGGATGTGTGAATGGTGTAATGGGTAATGCCTCGCAATTGTTAATCGGAGACTCGAGTTCCAATTCCAGTCTGGTACGTTAGATTTGCCTATGCACAATTAACGTTGGGATTGGTATAAATTTACCTCTTCTCCTCCCAGCTATGGGTTAATTAGTAAAGCTTGTATTACTGAATGATTATTATTTCAAAAAATCATATACTCTCAAAATATCGTGCTGTATTTTTAGATGACGGGTATACAGCTAGATCACGTTTATCATCAACGGTGTCATCATCATAAACGAAGCAATCAGGAAAGAAAAAACTCAGTTTTTTCATATCTTGGGGAGACGTGTGATGTCTCTCTGTAATGCTTCAAGTATATTCTCTATTGCTTTTTTTAGTTTTTTTAGTTTTAGTTTCTTTTTATTCTTTTTCTTTCTTTGCTTCTTTTTCTTTCCTCTCTTTCTTTTATTCTTCTTCCTTCTTTCTTTCCTTCTTTTTTCTTTCCTCTCTTTCTTACCTTCCTGTCTTTGTTTTATTATTTTTCCTTCTTTCTTTCCTTGTTTTTTCTTTTCTCTCTTTCTTTCTTTCCTCTCTTTCTTTTTATTCTTTTTTCCTTCTTTCTTTTTTTCTTTTTTTTTTTGTTTTTTAATTTCTTTTTTCTTTTTCTTATTTCTTTTTCTTCTTTCTTTTCTTTTTCAAAAATCTTTCTTTCTTTCATTCTTTTCTTTTTTTCTTCTTTTTTATTTCCTTTTTCTTTTATTTTTTTCCTTCTTTCTTTTCCTTATTTTTTTTTTCTTTCTTTCTTTCTTTCTTTCTCTTTTTTTTAAAAATTTTCCTTTTTTCTTTTCTTTTTTTCTTTTTTTTCTTTCTTTCTTTTTTTCTTTTATTTTTTTCTTTTCCTTTTTCTTTTTTTTTTTTTTTTAAAAATCAAAAATTTCAATCTTTCTTTTATAAAAAAAAAACTTTCTTTCCTTCTTTTTTTTTTTAATTTTTTTTTTCTTTTTTTTTTTCTTTTTTTTCCTTTGAATTCCTTCTTTTCTTTCCTTCTTTTTTTCCTTTTTTTTTTTTTTCTTTTTTCTTTTCTTCTTTTTTTTATTTCTTTTTTTATTCTTTCTTTCTTTTTTTTTCTTTTCTTTTTTTTTTTTTTTTTTTTTCTTTCTTCTTCTTTTTTTTTCTTTTTTTTTTTTTTTCTTTTTCTTCTCTTTCCTTATTTTTTTTTCAATTTTTTTTTTTTTCCTTTCTTTTTTCTTTTTTTTCCTTTCTTTTCTTCCAAATTTTTTCTTTTTTCTTTTTTTTTTTTTTTTCTTTTTTTTTATTACGCTTTATCAAATATTTTTCATTTTTTTAAATGTTTCAAATTTCAATTAATCTTTGTTCTTCTTTTTAAAAGTTTTTTCTTTTTTTTTTTTCCTTTCAATATCAGTCCAAAGTTTTTATTTTACAAAATTTTTTAAACAAAGACACTTTTCTTTCTCTTCTTTAACTTTTTTTTTCATCGGAAAAATATTATATTCTTTGCTCCAAAAAAATCAAAAGAACAAAAAAGAAAAAGAGAAAACAAAGTTCTAAAATTTTCAAATCTTTCATTTGATATTGCAACATTCGAGCAATCATTTATTTCAAAAGGGATTTCCAGTTTTCGGCCGGCTTTTTCATTTGACACTTGTCTTCTGTAATCACTTCTTTTTCAACCCTTTTTTTCTTTTTATCTCCAACTATAAACCAAATTTGTTTTTTTTTTTTTAGTTATGGCCTCTTTCGTAAATTTTTTGAAATTTTTAAGTCCCATTTTTATTACAGATTGGCTTCCATGAAAAATTTATATTCAAATTTGAAAAACATATATTTACGTCTTTTATTCAGTTTCAATTGATAAGAAAAATCTTTTCCGGGAAAGGACGGTTAATCGACTCACTTTAATTTTTTTTTTTTTTCGATAAAGGGATCTGGGTTGTTTTGGGAAGCCGTAACTTTTTATCAGATGGTGACTTTTTTTTATTTTTTTTTTAAAAAAGTTTCTTTAATCCAATTTTAATTTTAAGTTTTTTTACGATTAACTATTTGAATTAGTTGGAAGGCAGTGACCATTCCTCTGAAATGATTTCTGATTTTTAAAATTTTGGTGTAATTTCTTATTTTCTTTCTTTTTTCGTATCTTTATTTTTATTTTATTTTTTACTTTCTTTTTTCTTTTCTTTTTATTTTTTTTTTTTGAATCATCAATTTATATTGTGCGATTATCTCAACTTGTCAGCCAAAAGTTTGCTTAATTTTTATGTTATTTATTTTTAGCGGTATAAAAAAAAGGACTTTTCACGTCGATATCTTGACAATCAATTTAATTAAATAAAGGACTCAAATCACTTTTTTTTTTTTTTTTTTTTTTTTGCTCAGGGATGTTATACCAACAAATTTCGTAGAAATGTCTTTCAGTTACATAGCATTTCCCGGTTGGTGCATTTTAAATGGAATATTGACAGACATTAATTAATAAAGATCATGCTAATTCTTAAAATCATTTTTTATTCTGTATAGATCTAAATATAACTTTATTTTTTCTTCTTTTGTGAGTTTCTTTTTTTTTTTGTATGTAATAGATAGATAAAACCCACTATATATTGAATTAATTTTTTTTTTTTAATTTTTTTTTTCATTCAATTAATAAAAATATGATATATAATATATATATATATATATATATATATAATTCAATTTATTGGTATTTAATATAATATAAAAATTCCAAATTTTCAAAAAGAAACAAATTTTTATATTATAACAGAGCATATTTTTTATTTATACATTTAAAAAATAAATCATAATTTCAGAATAGCTTTTTTTTCAACCACAAATTTAAATTAAGGACTGGAAAAAATAGTTGAGGTTTTTATTCTAAAATTTTTTGTTCTTTTTAATTCTATTTTTATTTTTAACGTTCTTTTATAAATACAAATATTTAAAAAAATGCTCTGTTTATAATAAAAACTTATTTTCATTTACCAAATAAAAAAAATGTCTTCTTCTATTTCATCAAAAATATCCAATATATATATATATATATATATATATATATATATATATATATATATATATATATATATATATAATTATTTTTAAAAAATTTATAACATAAACATATTTCTTATAAAATCATTAAAAAATAGCCATTTTGTTTCAACATATTCAATGTCTTATCAAGGATGATGTTGAATGTAAAACAAATGGTTTTAAAAGTTTCAAATTAGTTAAAATTTTTCATATTTAAAAAATTGTTTTTTTTTTAAAATATTTTTTTCAATTTTTTTTTAGATTTTAAATATTTAAAAAAAAAGTTCTGACATTAGCTTTAATAATATAATAAATTTATATTAATATATTTCCGATATTCATCACTTTATCCCATAAATATTCACAATTTTAATTTAACTATATTTTCTCCATTCTATATATATATATATATATATATATATATATATATATATATTATTATTATTTTGATATTTACATACATTTTTATATAAAAATTTAAAAATATATGGAATTTTTTTGAATTTACATTTTTTAAAATTTTTATAAAAAATGTCTTTCAAGAATCCAGGATTTTAACTTTCAAAATGTCCATAAAAACATTTATATTTAAAAGGTTTTGCAAATTATTCCATTCCAATTCTCCATTTTTTATTTCATTGGAAAAAAATAAATTTTTTTTTAAAATCATCAAACCTAAAAATTCTTTAAAAACGAAAACAGAAAAAAAATTTCGATTAATATTGTTAAATTATATTTTCTGTTTTTTCCTTATATTGTCTTTTTGTCTTTTTGATATAGTTCTAAAAAGATCATATTTAAAATCTTATATATATATATATTATTTGTTTCCTATTTTTTAAAAGTTTTTTTTTGTTATTTTTTAAGGTATTTATATTATAAATAAAATTTTATCTTTTAAATTTTTGATTTCTATGCAAAAATTTTTGGATTCCACGATTTTCTATTTCATATGTCTGATTTTTCTATCTAATAATATCATATTCTTCTTAATAATAATTTTTTATAATAATAATATCTAATAATAATAATATATATATATATATATATATATATATATATATATATATTTCAATTTTTTGAAGATTTTAGATAGATAATAGATTAACATAGATTCTTCATTAGATATCTTTTCTATTTTGGTTTTCTTTGGGATTATTATGATATATTTTGATGAAGAGACAGAAACATAAATAGATATTGATAATAATAGATATCATTTTTTAGATAGATAATATATTTCCTGAAATGATTTCAACAATAATAAGACTGCCAGTTTTTAAATAATGATATTTGTTGTTTATTTAAGCAGTCCTTTAAAAAAAACAGATGTTCTTGAAAAAAAATTTGACAATCGATTTTTCAGACATTTTTGTATCCGTTTTTTTTTGAAATAAAATTTAATTTGGATAATTTTGAATAATTTGGCAATTTTTTTTACATTTTGTTTTGTTTAAAAATTGCAAATATGATATCTAACACTAAATACAACAAGTTTTCAATTGATTAAATTTGTATTCAAATTGGAACGTCTCTTTCCGTAAACTATAATTCATCGTTTTTTGTCTAAATTCCATTAATAAACCTAGAACGTAAATTTATTTTTTTTTTTTCTTTTATTCATAAACCTGATTCAAGAATTTTTTCATTTTTTTTATTTAAAAAAATCAACATTTTCTTTAAATAATTTTCAGTATGTGACGAAAATAAATAATTTTTAAAAATTTTAATAATTTTCAATTATTTTTTCAATTATAAAAAATTTCAATTTTTCAGCATTTAGCTAAGAATCTTCCATTTTTTATAACATCAGCTTGTTTGGTACATTCCAACAGAGTTTTGATAGCGAAGAGGTTAAACGTCTTGACACCGTTTCATCAATCTGGTCCATATAATTATCTTTTTTTTTCTTTTTAAGTTTTTTTTTTTTTAAATTTTTCTAATAAATTATGTTTTTTTTTGCATTTTATTTTTTACTTGAAATTCTATTTTTTTTTTGTTGGGGATCCTTTATTACTGTTTTCAGAACAAACAAAAATCTTAAAATAAATTATTCTTTTTGTTTTTTATTCATATCCAGTCTCCTGTAAAAAAATTTCCTTTTCTCTTTGCAGGCCGACTGCTGTAATTTTTATAAATCATTCTAGTTGAACTAATCCATTTTTCCTTCGGATTGAGCAAAATAAAGAATGATTCAAAATTTAGCCTTGGGATGATACAACATTATTCTTCTTCTTCTTCTTCTTCTTATTATTATTATTATTATTATTATTATTATTATTATTATTTTTATTTTCTTTGATTTCTGGCGTTTACACATTTCTTTCCGGGTCCCGCCCAGGGACCTAAGGTTAGAAATGGCATCATGACACTTTCCACTGACAAAAAAAAAAAAAAAAAAAAAATAGATAAAGCCCTTCGTAAAGTGTGGGCTGTACTTGTCAGAACAATTTTTTGTATCTCCTTGAGGCATGGACTTCCAGGAATCCCTTCAATTAGTCTACTGCAATCTTTTCCAACCAGTCCTAGGGCTCCAACTACAACAGGGATTGTTGATGTTCCCATATGCCACATTTTTTGAGATTTCTATTTCAAGGTCCTTGTATTTTGACAACTTTTTGAATATCTTCAAAGATACATTGCAGTCAGCAGGGACTGCCATATCAATAAGGAGGCACCGTTTTTTGTTTGTGGTCTTTAATAACAATATCTGGGCGGTTGGCCTTGATTGTTCTGTCAGTGTGTATTGTGTAGTCCCATAGAATTGTAACAGGTCCTATCTCCGTAACCGGGTCTGGGTGGTGTTCATACCAGTTTCTTTCAGTTTCCTTCCCGTAGAAGTTGCAGATTTTCCAGTGCAGATATTGGCCCACTCT